AGCCCAATACTCTTGTCTTCCATACCACATTGCCTCTGCCTCCTTTCTTATCCATATAAATTAGGAGAACTACATAAAAATGTATCAAATATATCCTTTATGAAAATGTGAGAAGGGAACAAACAGGATTTCTCAAGCAGTCATCAACAGCAAAATGATTTACAGTGGACTGAAAGGTATAGAAAAGCCAGCATCAGCTAGGTTAATTGCTTGTTGATTACAAATAGCACAGTCAGTCAGTCAACCAACAAATTTTTATTACGTACTCACTATTTGGCAGGCACTGTGCTTTGCATCCCTGGGGATACAAAGAAAGGCAAAAATACTGGTCCGCCTTCAAGAGTTCCCATTCTAATAAAGGGAGATAACACACAAAAAAACTCTGTACACACAAGTTATACACAGAGAGATGGAAGGTAACCTCAGAAGGAAGGCACCAACAGCAGGGGGAGCAAAGAAAAGCCTCCTGCAAAAAAAAAAAAGTGATATTTGGGTGAATCTTGAAGAACACCAGGGAAGCTAAGAAGCTGAGGTCTGGAGAAGAGGATTCCAGGCTGGGGGACAGCCAAGGCCAAGGCCAAGCTGGAAGGTTCTTTATCTGACAGAGCTTCTCTTGCATATGTTATGATCACACAAGATTTCTTGATAGTTGTAAGCACAGAGCTAACGCTGCCCAACGACCTTCACGTGTTCACCAATAGATCAAAATAGAAAAGCAATTTCTTATAGATGATGAAGTCCTGCACGTGTTCTTGTTGGCAGATGATATCTTGCTTACTGCAACAGACCCAAATTATTACAGGGCATCTTTGATGGGATCCATAATTACTAAATGATATTGCCTTAATAATCCACACAGGAAAACTAAGTGAATGAAAAATATTCTATTGCTCAGACTATGAAATGCAGTTTGCTGGCCAGTTTATTGAGCTGGTATATTAGTGTGCGTATGCGTATGTGTGTGTTTATCTATTAGCTATCCATCTATTTATCTATCTAAACGAAAGGAAGTACAGATGTATAATGAGTTGGAACCAGAAATTAGGAAAGTATGTTGACTTGCATTTGGGAAATTATGCAATGCTTTCAATAATGTCATCCTGATCTCAGTTATATATGCCCATTTTAAAAAATAAAAATATTCTCCCAGTGATGTTTTATAGTTGTGAATTTTTCAGCTCCACAATCTCCAAAGACTCAGAGTTGTAGATGACACAAAGGTCGGTTCAGGGTCATTTGGTGGGGACAAGTATACTTTAACATCCTTTCAACAATATCCTAGGTTAAAAAAATTGCATAAGTGAAATGCTTAAGGAAATGTGAGCCAGTTGTGTAATAAGGGCAAAAGCATTACATGAGCATGCTATGTGCTACAACGGTATCTAGAAATGTAAAACATCTAGAAAAAGGCTTAATATGTAGGTAGATTGCACCAACAAGCACCAACACAATGAAACTTAGATTCTTCCTCAGGATCCTCTGGGTCTGATAGAGGAGCTTTCACCTTCTCTTGACCATGTGGCCAGCCTCTATGCCACTTCTTGGCTTTATACTCAGCATTCCTCAATATTGGCACCTTTCTCCTCTCTTCCTCAGTTTTTGAAACTCCTCTGCATGTTGCCTTCCCCCACTAGAATTTAAGCTCTTTGAGAGAAAGGATATTATTTTGCTTCCTTGTAATTTACATCCTTAATGCTTAATACCATATCTGGCACATAGTAAGTGCTCAATAAATAGCTTAATCTGTCTATCTGTGGAAAAACATGAGCAAGAATTTTAGAGGATGAAGAGGTATGGACAGATTGCTAACTGATGGAAGGAATACTGACATTCGTGAAATCCCAGATCCACTGAAGTTTTGACATATATAAAGTATATTCTAGAATTTCTTTTATAGAAAAAAATTAATTTTACATTTTAAATACAAAATGGAAATGAGGAAATAGAACATGATAATATATTCCTACCTAAGATTATGCCATAAGAAAGATATCATAACACATGGAAAAATTCAATATAGCTATATAATATTCATCAGTATTACATATTCATCAATACTATATATAAATATATATATATATATATATATACATAGTGTGTGTGTGTGTGACAGTAGCTTATATTTCTGAATGAATTTTTATGATACCAAGAAGATGAACAAATTTTCATCATAAAAAAAGATTTTAACAGCAGCACAATGTCATCTTAATTTTCCATGTGTAAATTAAGTTATTTAAAAGATGATAACTATTTGAATATTAAATCAAGTCCATAAACATTCAGGAGTGAATGATGAAATGATGTATCAAAAGTCCCATTATATCATTCAGAAATCAAGTAAAGTCTAAGCTATAAAGAAAGCAGTCTATTTTATCAAACATGTTCATATTTTTAGCCAGAACTCATCAGAAATAAGCAATCAAGTAAAGGCAAGAAAAATAATGTCCTTTAACCTAAGTTTCCCACTTGTGCTCTAAAAGGCCATCTTTCCTTTTGGTCTCTAGCAAACATAAGGAACAAAAAGAACATAAGAAAGGATAGGTTGAATATAGCTTCTATCAAGATATGACTCCAAACTAAAAATATTTTAGCCAGCTAAGACTTCTATTCTCCTCTTTCCTCATAAAGGTTTCTCAAGTAATAGATAGTCTAAGAATAAGCACACTTTCCCCTAACTTTCAAACCACAGTTTAACATGGAATGATATAGACTTTCAATCCTCTCTAGCATGAAATAAGTTCTTCAAAAGGTATGGGGAAGCTCCTTTGGCCTAAGTTTAAAAAAAAAAGACATAATCATGGAAATAATGAATGTCAGACCTTCTATATAATTTTTAACTGAAAGATGGAAAAATATTTCTTCTTATCTTATTTTTGTTTTTTGTAAAACTTTTTTAAGGTTAAATGCCTTTATCTCTAAATTCATAATTTTAAGTATAAAAGAGTGCCTAACACTCACTTTACTTTTATTCCTACCTCTCAATAATTGGAAGGCACTTTCAATAGAAACTGGGTCATCCTTAATGTTAACTTATTATATAACTCTGAGATCCATTTTTCAGGAAAAGGGTTTGTTTGTTTTCCTTCTAGAAGATTAACATTATGCACAGTGCTGCTTATTTACTTTTATATCATTTTAAATTAGTTTCTATCCATTCTCTTTTCATCAATTAGATGCTATGGGATGAACAAATCTTTCTTTGAAAACCCCTACACTTTATTCTCAAACACATCAACCCTTCTATCCAACCATCTATCCCATATATCTACTCATCTACCCACCCAATCCATCTATCTATCCATCCATCCATTCAACACAATTAATTATCTACCTATTAATTCTTGACGCAACTTGGATAAAAATATCCTTGCACGTGTGTAACTGTTGCTTGACCAGTAAGAAAAGATGTGCCTTGGCCACCCACACTGTTGGATTTCATGTCTTGGGTGTGGGAGATTTCATTTTAAAGAAATCATTTAGTCCACTCTGGGGTATTCCATTTTGGCACAAGTGAAGCAGTTTTAAGCAAATGACTTTCCCAAAGATTATTATGAGAATCATGACCCACAATGCTTGTTGTTCTGCCACCCACCTTAAATAATTGCTTCATATTTAATGTCTGCTTTCTCAAGTATCGACAAGTGAAAAACCACTTACAGTATAAGAAGGAGATTAAAATGGCCTAAAATGAAATGGAACAGGAATGCTTAGTAAATGTACCAACAATGTTTATAATAGTAACTGCAATTGTATTGAAAAGTCAAGTATTGGAACCATCTAATTATTCAAACTTTTACTTCCCTGCAGGTGTAAATACATGAGCCTAATAAGCTTTCCCACTGTGAAGGAGCTTACTTAAATTATATTAAAATATTAAAAACTATTTAATGAGCTTTTTCCCTCCAAAAGTAAATTGAGTGTGTGCCTGAACCTGCTTGAGGCAAAGGAAGTTTCAAACATATCGTTTTTTAAACTAGCCATTATTTCCCATGTCGGAAAAAAAAATGGCAATTTTATTTCTCGACAGCAAATGAAACTGTCAGGAAAATTTAGGTGCAATAAAATTGGGTGGTTAAACCAACATACTGGATTTGGAATAAAACTGAATTAAAGGAATTAAAATTAATTCTTATGTCAGTCAAAATTTAAGAAAAACTATTACAAAGCTTAGTTTCTTTCCAAACAGAAATTCCTTGTTTTGGGTTAAGTGCAGATTTATCAGTCTTCTTAATGGTGTCACATTTGAAATTTGTACACTAAAAAATATTTTGCATAAGATGTGTTGCTTCTGGCAACTTCTCTGCCTAAATAAAAAGTTGTCAAGCAGTGTGACTTTAGTGGTACAGAGTTTTAAAATGGTGGCTTCAGTCCAAGGTTAGCTAATAACGGCTGACATGCCCTGGAATCTCGAGGCCTAAATCAACATTGTTTTCACAGCTGTAATTAAGCCACCTAATCAGAAGCACATTTTGACGGGACAGTTTCTGGAAGCCAGACATTACAATTTCTTATGCCTGGAGCGCAGTGGCTCATGAGAGGTCCTCATTTAATTTCAGGCTTTTTTTTAAAGCAGTAAAATGAAAAGACTATTTTAAAAAAAAAAGCCGTGTGCAACTGTTGAAATGAAGCAGACCTATGTGTTCATGCCTTGACCAACCTTGTATCCCACCCTTTCAGGCTCTCTGCCGAGTCCCCATCTCTCAAGTGGCAGCTGCACACAGTGAGATTAAGGGCTTCTGCCAAAATCAACAGATGAGCTGGTCTGAACTGGCTCTCTGTGTGTTCTGATTGTAAATTGTGCTGGTGATGATTAGAGAACTCTAACACAGGATGTCGACTCTTAAAACTGTCCAGAGAAAATAATTTTTTTTTTACTTCAGGAAATTTTTTTAAACTTTTTTGTGGCTTGGTACATAGTGTTTTGTCTATAACTTTCAGATGATTCAATTGAATTCACCCAAATTAACTAACTATGTTATTTAAAAAAAAAAGCCACTCACTGCCTGTTCCCAGCAGGATCCTTCATCTCAGGCTGTTTCTGAAATGGTGCTGCTGAAGGAAGCTCTTCTACCAGCCCACAAGTTGTGTGCTTTTACCACCTGCCAAAAGGCCAGAATTCTAAAATAGAGACAATTGAGGGTAGCTATTCACATTCTTATCTATTAACTATGCTGACCGATAGAAAAGTGACATTGTACACTTGCTGTTTTCCTTCTTCTCCATGCCCTTATATTCAGTAACTTTAAAATAAACTTTCAACCCCAGAGGCCATTGTAAAACTATCAATATGAGGGCACCAGTCACTGGGGTCTGATTACATTTAGTTCTGCATTTTAATTACATATGGATTCTATTAACTGAACCTTTTGCCTTATAGGCAACATTTTAATCAAATTACTATAATTTTCAAATATGTTACAATAGTTTGACAAGTTAAAAGTTCACATACCTAACATACTGAGTATCAAAAAACCCCTTTATATTAAAAGGAAATATTCTTTACAAATAGACTAATACATTCTGAGGTTACTCTGGGTTTTTTGGAACACCTAGCTCCATGTTATGTTACTTGATTTTTAAAACTATGTTAGTTTATCTTATTAAGCTTGCTGTATCACAAACAAATTCTATAATTTTCATTATGCTATTAGCCTAAAGGGAGATGTGTATACCATTCTCTTAATACCATGAACTTAATAGATAACAAGACAAAGTACATAAATACACATAGTATGAAACTTTCTGCTGCAATTCAGTTGCTCACAAACATTTAACAATTCAGGCAAATTAAACCAAAAAACTTCACTTTCACAAAGAGGCTATTTCTTTGCATAGGATTTACCTTAATTTTTTCTCACTGATGAAATGAACCAAAAAAAGGAATACATTTTGCCAGGAATTCAGCATCATTGTTGCCATCATCCTCCTCTTACTGTATCACCTCCTGTCCAGAAGGCAGTATGCCCAGTGATAGGGAAGATACTACATTGCACAACAAACAGTTAAAATTCATGGCCAACAGATGGGAGCAAATTACTGATCACTGAGGTGCTATGCTGCAAAGATGTGCTTTTATCTCTTAAGTTATATACACATCTATTTTAAGGGACTGCTTGTTTTATTATGTATGAGCTAGTTTGCAGCACCAGGTATGGAGTCAATGGATAGACTGGGTTTTTAAACCGAAGGCTAAGCTCTGCAGCCTACATGTGCAAGCATTGTCAAAGTGTTTGTATGCTTTTTGGGCCCCATCTAGGGTGGTTTGAAAATCTGCTAAGACAGCTTTCATTTGTTCTATATAGTAGCTGAAAAGGAAGAAGCAAAGGTAAAAACATTTTTTTAAATGGTTTTGAGTTGGAAGAATGAATAATATTGTTGAGGAAGATTTCAGCAGTAGTTAGAAATACAGGTGAATGATCTTGATGGTGATTAATGAAGTTAGTGGAATTACTGTTTAAATATATAACTGTTTTTTGAGGCCAGGCTCTACGTCTGGAGGTAGTATTGGTACAACAGAAAGACAGACCTTAATGATCATGGTGGAGAAGGATGTTGACTAGAAGTGGGAAACAACTTATGGAATATGCTGCAGGATAGGAAAGAGTAGATTGTGAATCCAGAATATTACCCTATAGAATGATTGTGCTGCCTCCATATTAGTGAAAGGGCCAATACAGGACCCTTATAGCCCAGCTATCTATGATCACTATAAGGATATTCTCAATCTATGAAGTAAGTTTATAATGAAGTTCAAAGCAGCATGGAGAGAGATTGTAGCAACCCTTCAACCTTCCCTAGAGTGTTATTACCTAAGATCACAAGAGATAGGAAGTAGCAGTATATATTATATCAGACAAGGGCCACCAAAAACTCCCTGGCATTAAATGGAAAGACTGCCTTATTGCTATATGATCAGCCACATGATAAGTCATGTTAAATTCACATAGTCTTCTTCCGATTTGGTAGAAAACATACACGTGGGAACATATGTTCAGGAGCCCATGTCAGATGCATTCACCTTCTGGAAAACTGAAAAGTCTGTATGGAAGTATCCTGATGCCTCTGTTGTCATTGGATATATTTATAGAATCACAAAATTTCAGATGTGGAAGAATCCTCAGATGTAATTTAGTTCAACTTACACCTGAAAAAGGATCTCATCTACAATATACCTGAAAGGAATTCTTCAGCCTCTGTTTAAAGAACACAAATGGGGGTATCTCCTACCTCCAAAAACAACCCAGTCTACCTTTGGATAACTCTACTTATTAGAAAGAATTTCCTTATATCAAGCCTAAATTTGCCCCACTGTAACTTGTATCTACCTAGAACAAGTCTAACCCCTCTACCACATGAGAGATAATTCAGAACGTGAATTAGCTATCATGTCCCCCAAAGTCTTCTCCAAACTGCAATTTATTTAACTGCTCCTTACATGGTATGAAAATTGAGGTTCTTCGTCATCTTGGTTGCTCTCCTCAAGATATTCTCCAGATTATGAATATCCTTCCTAAAATATGGTGCCTCTGAAATGTACACAATACTGAGATGTGATTTGACCAGGACAGAGTAAAGCAGGACTATTAATCTGCTTAGGCCTGGAAACTATGTCTCTATTAATACTGCCTAAGGCTGCACGAACTTTCTTGCCTGTCACATCACACAGTAGACCCTTATCCACCTTGCAAAGTGCTAAAACTGCCATTTTTTTCAAACTGCTGCTTACCTACACCTCCCTAGTCTTTTACTTTTGAAATTAATTTCATTGAAGTGAGCTACAATTTATCCCCAATATGTTAGTCTCTCTGGATCATGTTGTTGGTGATCCAACCTAGATATTCATTCCAGATTTGTGTTAATTACAATTTTATAAACATGCCATCAATGCCTTTATCTAAATCAGTGCCACAAATGTCAAACAGCACAAAGCTATACTCCACTGAGGTACTCCATTGGACACCTCATTTAAGCTGATTAACCAGTTTGGAATTCACATAAATACTATCATCTAGCCCTCTATTGTCCACAACAATAATGTGGAGATACTTTATTAAATGCTTTGCTAAAATTTAGGTTAAATATATCTATAGATTCCCTTGATTTGTCATTCTAATAACCCTATAAAATGGAAGTCTGGTATTGATGAATCCATGTTGGCTTTATATCATCACTTTTACGTTCTAGATTTTTCACTAACAATATCTCAATGCATCCTAGAACTTTTCTAGAGGTCAAAGTCAATCTCACTGACTTATACTTGATTCAATTCATTCTTTTCCAAATATTCTCTACCAAGTTTCTATCCTCTGATTCCTAGATCTTACATCAATCAATCAATAAACAATTATTAAAAATAAGATAAAAATAAACAAAAAAACCCCACTAACATTTGATAAGGGAGAGATGACTATCATAAGATATCATTAAGAAGGTAAAATTTAAATTGAGCTCTGAAGAAAATTAGGGATTTTAAGAGATGGAAGTGAGGAGATCTTGGGTTGTAAGTACAGTGGAAGGCCTGCACAAAGGCACAAAAGAGGAGATGGAAGTGAGAAGATCTTGGGTTGTAGTACAGTGGAAGGCCTGCACAAAGGCACAGAAAGAGGAGATGGAAGTGAGATCTTGGATTGTAAGTACAGTGGAAGGCCTGCACAACAGTACAGAAAGAGGAGATTGATGTGAGAAGATCTTGGGTTGTAGGTACAGTGGAAGGCCTGCACAACAGCACAGAAAGAGGAGATGGAAGTGAGATCTTGGATTATAAGTACAGTGGAAGGCCTGCACAAAGGCACAGAAAGAGGAGATGGAAGTGAGATCTTGGATTGTAAGTACAGTGGAAGGCCTGCACAAAGGCACAGAAAGAGGAGATGGAGGTGAGATCTTGGATTGTAGGTACAGTGGAAGGCCTGCACAAAGGCACAGAAAGAGGAGATGGAAGTGAGATCTTGGATTGTAAGTACAGTGGAAGGCCTGCACAAAGGCACAGAAAGAGGAGATGAAAGTGAGAAGATCTTGGATTGTAAGTACAGTGGAAGGCCTGCACAAAGGCACAGAAAGAGGAGACAGAGGATCCTGCCTAAAGATCAGCAAGAAGGACAAGTTGGCTGGATTGTAGAATGAGTGAAGAGGAGTAATGTATAATAAACCTGGAAAGGCAGATTAGTGTCAGAGTATCTTTGTTTTATTCTTTAACATGATTTGTTTTCAATTAACAAGCATTTATGGGGCAGGTAGGTGGCACAGTAGATAGAGCACCAGCTCTGGAGTCAGAAGGACCTGAGTTCAAATATGACTTCAGACAACTGACACTAGCTGTGTGACCCTAGGCAAGTCACTTAACTCCAACTGCCTCACCAAAAAACAACAACAAAAAAAACCCCCAAGTATTTATTCTCCTTCCACTTTCATTACAAAACTAGAGAAAAAAACTCATAACAAATATGAAAAGTCAAGCAAAATAAATACACAGGTCCAAAGTTTTATGTCTTATCTTGTACCTGGAGACCATAGTTTCTCTTTTAGGAGGTGGGTAGCACCTAGTTTCTAGATATTCTTAACTACAAAAAGAGCTGCTAAAAATATTTCTGTATTTTTTTTTCTCTCTTTGGTATATTGGCCTAGCAGTCATATCACTGGGTCAAAGGGTATGCAAAGTTTAGTAACTTTGGGGTCACTGTCCAAATTGCTTTGCAGAATGGACCAGTTCACAACTCCACCAGCACTGCTGAATGTGCCTGTTTTTCCTGCAGTCATTCTAACATTTGTCATTTTTCCTATTTGTCAACTTTGTTGAGTTATTATAATTTGAGTTTTTCTCACTGTTAGTGATTTGGAACTTTTAAAAAAGTTTGGTTGCTGAGAGCTTGGATTTCTTCCTTTAAAATTGCTAATTCATATCCTTTGACCATCTATGAATTAGATAATGGCTCTTATTCTTATAAATTTGAATCCATTTCTTATATATTTTATTTTATTTATTTTTTTGCTTTTTGGTGAGGCAATGGGGATTAAGTGAGTTGCCCAGGGTCACACAGCTAGTAAATGTCAATTGTCTGGATTTGAAGAGGCTGGATTTGAACTCAGGTCCTCCTGACTCCAA